ACAAGCCAGGGTGTACTTAATGTACGCGAGCAAACTGGATGCTGAAGTCATTTTCAGGGACGCGGCTCATCGAAACATGACCGAAGCAGGATATGTGTGGATTGTGACGGAGCAAGCTTTAGACGCCACTAATGTACCGGAAGGGACAATCGGATTGAAATTGGTTAACGCCTCTAATGAGTTAGCTCATATATACGATAGCATGTACGCATCTATATTTTTTCTTGTAGTTTACTTTTTCATGTATTAAGTATTAAAATTCTAATTTGGTTTATTGCAGATATATATTGGCTTCAGCGATTACAGATATGAACCGTACAAAAACTATAACCCCACCCCCAGCTGATTGTGACAACACAGGTGCTATTTGGGATACGGGCAAGACGCTTTTCGAGTAACTTTTGCAACCTATATCTCATACAATTTTGAATGAAATGTAATCATTAATATTTCTTTAGGTATATTAAGAAACAAGTGTATAAAGATGGACACACAGGTAAAGTAGCTTTCGATAATAACGGTGATCGGATATATGCTGAATATGATATAGTCAATATCAAAGAAGAGGCCAATAAAGATGCTATTGGGAAATATTATTTTAATAATGTAAATAAATGAACAATAATAATTAACATAATGAAAACAAATATTGATGATTCTAAAAGTCATAAATGATTTTAGGATTTTAATAAGATGAAATTGCGACTTAACGAATCTAACATTTTATGGCCAGGACGTTTGAAGAAGAAACCCGAAGGTTTTATGATTCCCACACATTTAAAAGTATTAACAATAGAAGAAAAACCATTTGTGTATGTAAGACCATTAAAGAAGGATGATGGAAATAGTTGTAAGACGGATGAAATAATGTGTCCATTGTATAATACTTCATCTAAAGGTAAACAATTTTACTTTAAAGAGTAAACGAAAAACTGGATAAAAATCTATGTTTGTTTATTTTGATTCTAGAACCAATAGTTTACTGTTGCAAAGGATATTGTATTGATTTGCTAATGGAGCTTTCTGAAACGATAAATTTTACTTACAGTTTATCATTATCGCCAGATGGTCAATTTGGAAATTACGAAATAAGAAATAACTCAGGTGAATACTTCAATAAAATAATAAAAATTGCAAGGTTATATACATTCATTATAACTGTGATTAATATTTTTAGCTAGTGGAAAAAAAGAATGGAATGGTTTGATTGGCGAAATAGTGTATGAAAGAGCAGATATGATATTAGCTCCTCTTACCATCAATCCGGAAAGAGCAGAATTCATAGAATTCAGTAAACCATTCAAATATCAAGGAATTACTATTTTGGAGAAAAAGGTAAATGCTTTGAGATTTTTGATACAGATATCGGGTACACAAATTTGTAATATCTTTTTAAAATATTTAAATTAAAAAAACTTCATTTACATTTTTAAAAGAAAAATACTTAAATAGTTAAAATGTACCTCAATATCTTTACATTACCCACTTACTACTTTCATAATAAAAGATTTTTCATATTTTTTTTAGCCATCGCGGTCTTCGACACTTGTATCGTTTTTGCAACCATTCAGTCACACGCTCTGGGTGCTTGTCATGGGTTCTGTTCATGTGGTTGCACTTGTGTTATATCTACTCGACAGGTTTTCTCCTTTTGCTAGATTCAAGTTGATTAACGCTGATGGCACAGAAGAGGATGCACTTAATTTATCAAGCGCTACATGGTTTGCGTGGGGAGTTTTATTGAACAGTGGTATCGGCGAAGGCACACCAAGGAGTTTCTCAGCTAGAGTACTAGGAATGGTATGGGCTGGATTCGCCATGATAATTGTAGCATCTTACACTGCCAACTTGGCTGCTTTTCTCGTGCTCGAGAGGCCGAAGACGAAACTATCTGGAATTAATGATGCTAGGGTAAGAAAAATTCATGTTTACTAATTATAACCTAATTGAAATAGTTTTCAACTACTTAAACATAAGTCATTGATTTGTTCTACAATAGCTCCGTAGTACAATGGAAAATTTAACTTGTGCCACGGTAAAGGGATCCGCAGTTGACATGTATTTTAGACGACAAGTGGAACTCTCAAACATGTATAGGACAATGGAAGCCAACAATTACGAAACTGCTGAAGACGCAATTCGAGATGTGAAGAACGAGTACGATCAGAATATTTAAATTAAGTTTGACAGTGGTTATTAACATATTTAAAATAATTTTCAGTAAGCTTATGGCATTTATTTGGGACAGCAGCCGTTTAGAATTTGAAGCTGCACAAGATTGTCAATTAGTCACGGCCGGCGAATTATTTGGACGTTCTGGGTATGGGGTCGGTCTACAAAAAGGTTCTCCTTGGTCTGAATCAGTTACATTATCAATTTTAGACTTCCACGAGAGTATGTATTATGCGTATTATGTATAATTCGAGTTTCTATAATACAATTACAAGGATGATGAAATATAATCCTTGATATTCTTGAGCCAGGTGGTTTCATGGAAAGCTTGGACGATAAGTGGATATTTCAAGGGAGAGTAGAACAATGCGAAGATCAAGAAAAAACACCCAATACATTAGGATTGAAAAATATGGCTGGTGTATTCATACTCGTCGCTGTGGGCATAGTGGTTGGAATGTTTTTAATTGTAATCGAGATAGGCTACAAGAAACATCATGTTCGTAAACAGAATCGATTGCAGTTGGCTCGTAATTATGGACAAACCTGGAGGGCTATAGTTCAAGTAAGTGTGAAACTGTGAAATATTACTCGACGGTTAAATTAAGTCAAAATAAAATGTATAACGTATAATATATGTGTGTAAACTTCACACCTAATGTTCTATAGAAACGAAAAATGATGAGAATGCAAGGTCGAACTAGTGGTGTTGGAGCACTCAGTTTGTCTGTGGAAGCATTGCCGAGAAGCGTTCTAAACATTCAAAGTCCAATCCGACCAATTGAAACATTACCGAGAACTTGTCGTAACTCACCAAGCCCGACTCGAGCTTGGTCAGGTCGACAAATGGTACACAGAAAGAGTGATGATATTCCACTACGGTCACCAATTGGAGGTCCTCCGCAATTACACTTCCATAATAATCTCATGTAATTCTGGTATTATGAAAGTAATTAATATAGTTAATCATAATTCATAATATGATAAAGTAATTAAATCTATTTATCAGATAGAATTTAATAATATATAAATAACATAAGAATTTTAGTATTTACTGTTTCGAACCAACTAGGGAATCCAGATATAGTTTATTAGACGATAATATTACACCCATATAATAGTTTCTAATAATATTTCATCATACTATGGAAACATAATTTACGTT